ATATATATATATATGAAAAGAATGAATGTGTACTTGAAAACTTGTTACCATCCTTAGTGTATAAAAATTTGTCAACACATCATTTACTATTAGATTATTTATTTAAGTCAGTTAAGACACATTAATAGTGTGTAAACCTCTATGAAAAACTGTGTGCAGCTTCAGTGTTTTTTTTTATTTACTTTCAATTATTAATGTTTCATTTCCCCAAAAGTAAAAGCTGCCTAATATCAACTGTATGCTTAATAAAAAAAAACATTAAGCACACAGAACTAAAATGAAATTACACAATTCTCTTCTTTTCATACATTATGCAAATTGTTAGAAATCAACATAATCTTCATTCTCGTTAAAACAAAACAAAACCAATTTGAAGTGAAAATATTATTTAGTATATAAAAAAACTAAATTAGGACATTACTTTGGGTCTGGTACAGGCAGGAGGCTAAAGGCTGCGATGCAGTCGATGACCCAGGAGGAGGGAGCAGACCACACCTTTCCCCGTCTGACCACTGCAGGCCGGAAGGCTCTCTGGTGGTCATAGATGATGTACTGGGTGCACAGGGCCTGATCGGAGCCTGGCTGAGCATGGTAGGCTGCAGCGTTCAGAGTCTGCGTCACGTCGCTGTCCGGCTTCGGCTGTCGGCTCAGGAGCTGGCCGCCTCCTTCCCGCAGCAGCCTGGTGAGCTCATCTTTGGTTGGAGCCTTGAAGGAGCCGAGGAGAAAGAAGAAACAGCCGTCGAAGAGTGGTGGGAGCTATAAAACAAAACACAAATTCATATATTTAGGAATTCGTCTGACTTGATTTCTTTGTTTGATTATACCGAATCAATTATTCATTTCCTATCAAAACCCCAACAAAAAAGAACTGTAACACTTATATTTTCTCACTGAAACATGTAAGGCAGAGAGCAACTTCAGCTCTGGTCTTCTTAATGACAAAACTGCACAAGTTTTCTTTTTTTTTGTTTACAGCTTAATTAAGACTTTCAGACATTTTCTTTGCCAGTAATTTTAGGCAAGTGGCTGTGTAGACGTTCTTTTGTATTAATTCTTTGCTGCAGAGATAGAAATGGTTTTCAAAAGCCTTGTTCTCCAGACAAACTCTGAACCATTTAGCACTGTTGTTCAAAGAAGCAGAGAATTAGGCCATTGGAGACGGTTTTATTCAAAGCATTAATGAACTCAAAGACGAGCAAAAACAAGCTTTCGTGGGAGTTTCTAGTATTTTTCCCCCTCATACTTTGATTTCACTTTTGCCTGAGTACATGTGTGTCTGTCTTTTTTATGATTATGACAGATGTCTTTTTTTGTTTGCTTTTTTCTGTAGAAGGAAGGAGAACAGCTTTTTTTTTGTTTTGTTTTGACTGCAGCTATGATGCTGACTTTGCCAATGTGAAAAATTTATGATTTTTTAACGTTTAATGTTAATTATGGCTCAGATTTGAGCTGTTTTCCAATTATTTTGCTTCACACTTCTGCATCTGTTTTGTTTCTATTTAAAACTGTCTTCAGCTGGTAAAAAAGGACGTACATTAAAGATGTAAACACTATATTTATATACTGCATAGAAAGACTGATCTGAACTTGAGTAAATTCAAAATTGGCATGGCAATGGCATAACAATTTGATTAAAAAATGAAGTAAAAAAAATAAAAAAAGAGCATCTGTGACAATTTTCATGAGTGCCAATGCCCGGAAGAACATGTTTTTCTTAGGACAGTGGATCTATACAATCTGCTTTTATTCATTCCACATCTGCGTGCTTATAGTTTACCAAACTGCATCTGTTGATGCGACTGCGCTGAGGGCCTTCTCCTGCTTCATGCTCAGCTTCTGGCAGCCACTTCCTCGCCTGCAGACATGCTTTCACCCCTGCCATCAAAGAGATGCAAACAAAGAAAATTAAAGCTACAGCTAATTACTCTGACTTGAAAGAGTATGACAAGGTTGTCGTAAACAGAGGCTGACAAAGCTCATGTCTGTTTTATCTCAAGTTAAAAGATTGAAGAAAAAAATAACACAAAAAAATAAAAGCTGCAGCTGTTGACAGAAATATGCCCACAGCATGATGGAGCTAATGATGTGATCCCCGTTGTAAGTGTTAAGCAGAATTTGGGCATCATCACTCATTGTCTCATGAGGAAGTCGTACTGGAACCGAGTGAGTTCTTTTTTTCCCCCCAAGTAAAAAAAACTGTTGTTTTAATTACATGTAAAGTATCATGAGCTAAAGAACTGCTTTAAAGCAGATAATGAAAGAAGTTCACATTTTAATAGACCACTAGTGTCAGTTAATATATATTATGTTCTGAATATTTTCTGAATCAAAGAGCTGTAGTTCTCAGCAAGTGTTCTATTCCCAAGTACTATTTTGGTGAACATTTTCAAAAAAGATTTTAAAAGCAGCATTTTCAAGTAGATGCATTATATAATCAGCTAAAGACTCTAAATTCAGAATATCCTGAAATAACTGCAGATRCATCCATTTTTATTCACAACCTGATCGAATGATTAATGCAGATTTGGGTAGTAACTAGATAAGTTTACTTGATAAAGTTTTAGGAAAAAAGTGTACTTTTAGGGAGTATTTTTCTTTGCTGTACTTTTTACTGGAGTGATTTTGTTATGAAGTATTGCTACTCTTACATACTCTACCCATTGTGAGTAACCTCACTGAATAAAGAGCAAGCTTGTTTTCACCAAAAACTCCACAAACACAGACATACAC